TTGAGCCATGGCCCTGGCCCACGATTCACAAACCAACCCTGACCTGTGGTTGCTGACCTGACCCGCTTCAAGATCCATATCCTTTATGAGACAGCCTCTGAGCCGTTGGATCTAGGGCTATAATCCTGGCCCTTGATTGGATTTAACCCATATATATATATATTCTAGGGAGAAAGGGGCGTCGTCTCTTATTATTCCACTCTCAGTCTCTCTACTCCTTCTCTCTACAGCCCTTCTTTGCCCTCTCTCTACAATACCGACCTCCGTACGATCTCCGGCGAGCCATTTTCTTCTATTTTATGGAGAATATGTGATGTTTTTCGTTTTCCTGTCTCATTTTGAACTGCAAGGGGTTCGTTTTAAAGTTTTGCTTTCAGTTTGTGTGGTTCTCTATTTTCGACTATTGTTTAACTGTCTGCTTTGTTTTCCATTCTGTTTTGTGGGTTTCGGGCCGGTTTATTTGTGTTAGTCGCAATTTGGGTGTGTATTTGTATCGATTTTGCGTTTTCGCGTGAATTGGGGCTGAGCCTACCAACCAAAACTAGTTTAAATTTTGTCATCGATTTTGTAATAAAATCTCAAGCTATTTCTATATTTTAATAACATATATATACTTGATCTTTTTTATGGAAAAAAAAAAAAAGACTGCTTATTTGACAATCATTTTAATTTATTTTATCATTCAATCTTTACGATTTTTTTTAACAAAAATATTTTCACGAAAATCACTCATTCTAATACTATTTCCGTCCAAACACTGCAAGAAAAAATCATTTTTGTAACAAAAATTTTTTGTCTCTAAATCTATTTTTTCCGTTACTAATGACATTAGAGACGGAAATAAGAATGAAATTACGTTAGCTACGTGAACTTTAGAGACGGAATTCCGTTACAAATAGATTATTTTTTTCAAGTGAAATATACTGCTCTAGATCAAACATGCTTAATTTAGAAGTTCTAATAGAACATTAAAAGTTATTTATCAAAATATATTATTTATTTTCACAAAATATTATATCTAAATACAACTCAAATTAAAAATTAAAACCAAAATTCTAAAAACTAAAAAAGTAAACCAACACACCCAAAGTCTATTTTTAATTTAATGTGTCTTTCTTTAGGGAGGTTTGAGAAAATTTGGATTTTGGTTTAGTTTTTATTTGAATTTTGAAGTGAGTTTGAATTTATGTGTTTATTTGGTGTTAAGGTTTAGGTTGGGTTTAGAGAGTTTTGATGTGTATTGATTTGATGTTAATGAATATATATATATATATAATAGGTTAAATTGCACAAAATCCACCAATGGTTTCAAGAAATTGCGCTAAATCTTCTATACTTCTAAAATTGCATCAAACTCTTTCGTGGTATCATAAACTCTGCGTCTAACGCCCTCGGCGGTTCTTATTTAACGGTATTTGATCTAAATGCGCCCAAACTGTGAATAAATTTTAGAATATCACATTCTAAACCCCTAAAATTACAAATGTATTTATTTTTCTTATATTTAACCTAAAAAGATAATAAACATAAATTCTTAAAACATGAGAAAAATAACTATTTTTACTATATTTACTATTTTTTAAGGCTAAATATAAGAAAAATAAATATATTTGTAATTTTAGGGGTTTAGAAATTAAAATTCTAAAATTTATTCGCAGTTTGAGCGCATTTAGATCAGATACCGTTAAATAAAGACCGCCGAGGAGGTTAAACGCAGAGTGTATGAATCCACGAGGGAGTTTGACACAGTTTTAGAAGTATAGGCGATTTGGCGCAATTTCATGAAACCACAGGTAGATTTTGTGCAATTTAGCCTATATAATAATATAAATGTGTATTAATTTGTATAATTTTATTATAAATTTATATTATATCTATATATATTTTAAATTTTTATTTATATTATAAAAAAATTTATTCTCTACAAAAATGACATATATATTGTATATATTTTATTAAATTATAATTATTATAAAAATTTTAATTTATATTAATAGTTTAAATTTTAAAATAAAAAATAGTCGTGTCAAACTTTCCCCCAAACCATGACAGTCCAGTTTAGGGCAGATTTACTGTGCAACTGTTTGCACACTATATCTGCTCGAAACTGGGCTGGAGAAACACACACTTAATATTCCAGTGATAAAGAGACAATGCTCACTCTTCACTGCTGATGTGGATGCACATATCGGTATAATCTGTCACCAAAATACTAAAATAATAATACTATCTCCGTCCCATATATGACGGGTTGCCGTAGATACGAAAATTTAGAACGAGAATGATTAATAAATAATTAAGAATATAGTACTAAAATTAATCAAAATATAATACAAATAATTAAAAATTAAAAAAATTAAAGTTATAAAATATGATTAAAAGATAAAATACTTTTTAAAAATATATATATATATAATATAAAATACTCCTTCCGTCCCATAACAAAGTATCTATTTTTCCATTTTAGTCTGTCCCATTTGTTCATTTCCCTTTTTAGTAACTGTACTATCTACCGAACATTAAAAATACCCTTACAACTTACAATATATTACATAAATGACATTACCTTTATATCACATAGTAATAAAGTTATTTTAGTCATTTCTACTTTATTCCTAGTATATCACAATATAATACTAATATTTTTAAAACTACGTGCAAAAACACAAATGAATACTTAGTTTTGGGATAGAGGGAGTACATGACATGATATCTGGAGTAATAATAATTAATATCCTCAAATCAAACAACTTTGATAAATAGAATTAAAGAAAGATGAACTAGCACGTCTAAAGACATAGTTTTTCAATTAGAAAATTCAAAATAAAATCTTTCTATATTATTCACTTTCGATTTTCAGCCGTGGGCTTACATAACTGAATTGTCACTCCCGCCTAACATAATAGTCTCTCCAAATCTATTCTTATTTTTATTTTATGGTTGTCATCCAAATTTATTTATGTTTATTCTTTCAGTAAAAACATATCACTTTTTTTATTTTTTTAACCCAAAAAAGTAAATTAAGATTAAATGAGTGTACAATTGAATAGGGGGTACTAAATATAAACATCTAATCTAGAAACAATCACAATAATTCTTTCTCATGTTATATTGTAGCAGCTACGTAATATGGACAAAGTATAATGAGTTGGACGACACCTTAAATATTCCAAACACTTGGACAGTATAAATGTTCCACTGCTGACAACCACATCTTGAATCCAATCAATCATTGTTTAAATAATCGAAAAACAGTTACATAAACAAACCCCTTATTTTAAAAGACATGTATAAATAAATAAATAAAAGTAGCGCCTACCCAATAATTGTTTTGAAGTGATTGATTAAAAGCAGATAAGATAATCAAGTCACTCAAGTAAAAGATATAATAATATATGAATAAATAAAAAGTGGCACCTACCTAATAATATAATTGTTTAAAATAATCTAAAAGGGTTAGATAATCAAACCCCTCTTGTGAAAAACATAACACTTAAAACCTTATGAAGTAGTAATACATTTAAAGCCACTGATAGGGATGCTATAGTATTCAAAAAACACAGTGATGCGCTTAACAAATATAAATATATATAATTTGACAACATATAACAAGAGTTCATAAAGTGTTGATTAGCCCCGATCAGCACAATAGCGAGTCCGCTATTGATGATGTTGCTTAGCATTTGAGATGCTACTAGTTCAAGCAGGAAAAAGTCGGGCTTACAGTGTTGGAACTTATAATGAATTGCACCTAAGTCAGATCTGTCGTGTTGAAATAATTGAGATAAAAATAAAGCAAATTAAATCTAACATTATTTCTCACCATAATCGATTTTGAATCTGCAAATTGACAGAGGATTTTGTGTTCTTCAAGCATATAGCGCAACTCCTCCTGAGAAAACCACTAGGGCTTCTGCCGTTACTATCAAATTTATATCCCTTATTATTAATTGGCCTCACCACCAAATTAATAAATTACTGGGTTTCTGTACATTGGAGACTCGTACAGGCCACACTTTTGGCAAGAACAAATAATTAACATAGCAACACTGTATATTGAATATGGATTGAATCTAAACTAATCAAGATTGAATAAAGTTGGAAAACTTAGGAGGGCATGGCATCCTTCTGTTAAATTAGTAAAGCAACTCTACACAACAAATGTAGGTTGAATCATACCACCACCGGCCATACCTGGAGAATTATTAATACAGTAGCATAAAAGTGTGGCATGTGCTTCCAACAACCAAATATTCAAAAGGATTCACAACTCACATTATATTTTGCTGGAAAACATGAGAAAAGACAATCAACATGATACTAAAATAATGGTATGTCATTTAAGCGAAAACCCTACAAGAAATAGAGTGGTGTAAAATCATCATCATGCCTATAAAAGTAAGGCTTGGATTAAAGGTAGCAGCAGAAAGTTTAAGGAATGGGGGAAGATGGGAGTAAAGCAAGAAGTTTCCGGGATGAAGACTACCTCACAAGGCGGGTGTTCTTGAGGAGCTATCCCCTCCACTGGGCAGGTGGGGCTGAAGGTGAATTTGGAAAGGGGAGTGCAGTAGATGAGGGCGAGGATGTTCATATCCACGACGTACCTGCAAAAATCACAAAGACAAGAGAAGGAAAGAGAGCAATCAAGAAGTTAATCCTTTTGGTAATCCAATGGGGGGAGGGAAGCATCCTGGTTTTAAGAAGATTCAAGCACAAGATGGCAACGTATGTGGTTAGTTGCACACCAATCAGTTTCAAAGCAGCTTCGACTGCCTTAATTTCAGCTAAGTAATTTTTGTATTCAATGAGTCTTCAGTCCTGTAAACCTGAAAATGGAGCTGTTTTCTGTACATCAACATATAAAAGACTTCTTTCCACTCAGGCACATTACACTAAACAGGAATTGTGTTACCCCCTATTTCAATATCAGACATCCATTTCTCCAAAAGAAAAACACAAGAAATATCTGAATGTTAGAAACAAGAGACACCAGTGAAAAATGGTGGAACTTTCGTCCATATAAATAATCAAACAAAATAGTTCTTTGTAAAGTTACATCAGTGGCACAAAGGCCATCATCAAACACCACACTAGTGGCTTCGCAACAATCCTAAACCCAAACTTCCACTACATGATACAGGAACAGAATAGCTAGACATTTAATCTGATATTTGAGCTCGCTTCAAACACACAAAAACGTCTATTCAGAAAAAAATTATTGAAACTCCCATTGTAAAGCACCCCACCGCCACCCAAGGGCTTAGTCTCTCTCCTGTTACAGGGAGCAGTGACAGTGAGTTATAGTCTGAAGATTTCACCAAGTTTAAGAACTAACGGCATAAAATTGACAAGCATCATCGTTATTTCAAATACTTAAATATGATGAGATAAACAAAGGCATGGAAAACCTAATGATAACAGAATATTATCACTGTTTGCCAACTACTATCATTTGTATATGATGCTCCTACAACAAAGATACAGCACTATGAAATTATGATACATCAATCCTAGCAAACATTGCTCCACATTTAAAACCCAAATTTCAATACATAAATATTTATTTTTTCAAACAAGTGACGGGATTCATAATTAAGATGATAATATGCACTAACGTTCAGAACTTTATCTCCTCGTGTTGTTTTGTTATGAATCTTTTTATAGATGTGTACATAAAAATCACAACCTTTTCCATGAACTATGAATGTGTTATGAAAGACCATGCCATGAAACTGAAACTGTACAAATAAGTATGAAAATCATACCTATTCTAGCAGCCTTCCAGAAAACACCTCGAAACCTAGCACATTAGCACCGTAACCAAAAGTTAAAGAAAAAAGACAGTCTTCTGGATCAAAAAAGAAAACAAATAACACCAAAATACTTACCAAACTAAATGATATAAACCAAATAGGAGTTATTCCAAAATAATAAACTGTTGTTTGTTTCCATTTTGACTACAGATAAGTGAAAAGTATAGATATTGTTTTTGGCTTTAGGAAATATTTGGAACATTATTTTTTGCATCTTATTTGGGCATCAAAGCAGGTGATGATATTCGCTTGTGAAGCATCGAATAGAAAAGTTCTTCTTACCTTTTTTGCAACAAAGCAGAAAAGGAAATTTGAATGTCTTAAAAACTCAGGGAAATAAGGAAAAAGGAGTCACACACTTTCTACTCATTATGTCATGAGCTTGGTGATATACAAATAGCAAAAGTTTCAACATTGAATAGATGTTGCTGCTAACTAATACTGCAGATTTATGATGTCTTCACTTTTGGGCTTTAGTTTCCATAACACACTGCCTTCCACTCTAGATGAGCAATAGTTTCAGTTTTGACATTATATGGCCAGATAACAATATACAACTGTCTAAAAGGATTGACAACTCGACCATATGATTGTCAATATTCACAATAAATGATTTTCCAAAACTAATGAGAAAATGTGATGAAAAGAAGAGTAAAGAATATCAAAACTGATCAATACATATGAATTAGAAAAGCATAAACCTCAATGACAAACAAGCTCACCCAGTTCTCTGCTCAAGAAGAGCCGGAAAATGAATCTTCACATATGTGCAAGCACAGATGCCCAACAACACTACTGTCAGGAATGAATGGAAATTGAAGAGCGCTGACTGAAAATTCAAATCAACAACATCAATACTAATTCTAGCAGACTGTCACAAGACAGCATTACTAAGTTAATCAAGACTTTACCATGTTTATGCTGCTGCCGTATCGTCTAGCTTGCACTAAATCTAGAAATAAAAGAAGAATTAAGTCATTCATTTGAGTAAAAATGGCATAAAAAGTATAAACAGCTGCAATAACGAAAACAAGAAAACTGTAAAACTCTCAGACATAATGCTAAAATTCAACAAAATTTTCATCACATCCCCAATTCCCATCCATTGAATCGCATGTACCAATTTCAATATTCTAATATCTAATATCATAAACTGAATAAACCAAATCACAAACACTTGGGCAGATTCCAATAAAGCATACACTTCTCGAATTCCTCGGAAATACGGCCACAGAACAAAAACCATAAACCAAAACATCATTCATCTTGAAATGCAACAACAAAATAAACAAATAGATCATGCAGCACTGGCAAAACTCGAGCCTCGAATAAGATACGAACACGAAAAGAAGATCCGCAATTTTCCAAAATTAAACCGCCCAAATTGACTAAACAGCAGCAGTTCATCATCTATGATCCAGAGACTTTCTTACCGTAGATTCGCAGATACGACGGGAGATCGACGATGTCTCCTCAGCAGCAAAATTGCACTGTGTGCGCGTGTGTGAGAGAGAAAGAAGAGAGAGATGTGAACGAAGGCAGAGCCTTGACAGTAGGTAGCAAATCACAGTGTGCCACGTCATGCTTTCCACTGTGCACCGAGGTGCAGAGGATTTTAAATTGGGCTTCTAATGGGCCCAGCTCGGCCCACTCAGGCGCTTGGAGTTATATATATTTAGCAAAATTAAAACTGGGCTTTTGTATAATTATTGCAAAGTATAGGCCCTATTAAGCAAATCGGAAAACCCCTGTCATACGCCTTGTATTGGCTGGACTCACCATTTCTTCGCTCTTTCAACGCTCACTCTTCACTTTCTTCAAGACTCAAAAGTTTCTCACTCGTTTGCTGTACCTTGGTTCAAATCGGATTGTTGTTGTTCGAAGCTTCCGGGAACTGATATTTTATTTTTATTTTTTATTTTTAGTTTCAGATTTTGTAGTTTTGTTCGGTATATACTTGCATATAGTGGTGTAATTTGTGCAGTTTCTTGTTATTTCGCTGTAATTGTTCGATTAGTTTTAGGTGGGTTTGGTAATGAACTCGAGAGCGAGATATCCGCCGCCGGGGATGGGTGGGGGCCGGGGAGGCGGGGGCGGAAGTGGAATGAACCCTCACGGTGGGCCAAACCCTAACTTTCAACCGAGATATGCAACTCAGCAGTATGTACAGAGAAATCCTGCACCGAACAACCAGAATCAGCAGTTGTATCAAAATTCTCAGGCACACCAATGGATGAGAAGAAATCAGCTGCCGCCGGGCGATTCAGCCGTTGACGAGGTTGAAAAGACTGTACAATCAGAAGCTGTTGATTCGAGGTTGGGATGATTTTTAATCATCGTATTGGAACTCTATGCTTTGTTAGTTGTTGTCCTGATGGTTAAATCAATGGATTTTGATCTGTTTAAATGCTTGATTGTAGTTTCTCTGTGATTACTCTTTACACCACAGCTTCTTGGAAGTATAGAATAACTTTTACAATCTTGAAAGTTCTTGTAGTCAGATATCAGGAGTTTATTTTTTGTTAGTTGCTGTTAATTCTTGATAATTCTTTAGGATGACAGTGTGCTGGTGTTTTATTGTATTTTTGTAAGTTGCCCCGGATGTTGGGATCGTGATGGTTTTTAGATTTTCCGGTGCCACAATAAATTTAAGGAGAATTCTGGTTGCAAGTATTAGAATGCTTGGATGAGGAAACACTGTTACCGATTTCTTCTCGTCTATGTGGTGATAATACCCTTTTATTTACAACCATTGCGTAGGTTCTATTTGTTCAGAGTATGCTATTCTTAATCCCAATCTTTTTCATTTGTATATCTTGATGGTTAACTGTGATTCACTTTACATACTTGAATGAATGTAGTTCGCAAGATTGGAAAGGACAGCTGAGGTTGCCACCAGCAGACACTCGTTACAGAACTGAGGTAACATCTGTACATAATGTTCATATTTTATGTTTCAAATGCTTGTTTTTTATATGTAGCTGTGTTAGTATTGGCATTATTAGAATTGGTTATGTGGTTCCATGTAACCGATCAATGTTGAGTGTGTAAAGGTTCAACTTCATCTTGTAATTTGGGATTTATTATATTGAAAAAACTTGTTATGACTTATGAGGATGTTATAAGCTTATGATAATTTCGAATGATGCTCAAGATTAAGGGTACACTTTTCTGTGTTTTGGTACTTGTTTTTGAGCTATGCAATCTATATTAAAAATAAATAAAATCTAAAAGTACATATCTCTTTAGAAAAAACATCACGTTGAACATCTATTTCCCATTCAAACCTTTAAACATCACATCCAAAACTTGTTTTCCACTCTAAACATCACATGCAATATCTATAATTTTTTATATCAAGCCGTCACATGTAATACTTATTTTTTTTATTCAAAACATCATACCCCTAACATATTTTCTACTAAAATTTTCAAAACCAAAACAACCCCAAAACATCTAAAAGCACCTCAAAATGCAAACAAACAAACCTAAGTTAGAATGGGAACATGGCTGCTCTGGGTGATTAATCTGTGCCATTACCTTACTTGTATCCTTCTAAATCCATGTTAATTTTTTCCTTCCTTATTTACTATATTTAGCATCTTATATGTCTGTGGATCCAATGATACCGTTAAAGGAGTTGTAGTGGGTTTACAGTTCATTTATAGTTTCTATACCAGGAGAACACTTACCTTTGATCCTAATAGGTGAAGTTATGTACAATTGCAATGATGTTGAAAACTTAAGCGAAGTCACAAATAGAGTTAAATAATTCCAGGTTCACTCCACAGTTGCAAATGTCACAGCTTCTGCACTAAGACAGTCTGCATCAACCGTTTTTTCTCTTTGTTATTTTTTTCTGATTTTCTTCTCTATTATTATATTAAAAAAAGTTTAGTAGTTTGTTTGTTTATATGTTTTTTTTTATAAGATACTGGAATTATTATTTTTGTTGGTTGAAAACATGTTATATTAAATACACATGTATGTAACTATATATATATTTGGGTGTATCATATATATACATTAAAAATATATTAATAGTTATAGTCCATGCCTTGTTCCGTTTGTCATTTACAACTGTCACCCGTTTCAATTGATTCATTTTCCTGCTGTTAGATTGTCTGGCTCTCTAGTTTAAGGCTCTCATTACTAGATTGATAATCATTAATTGGTTCCAAATTAGTTTATACCACTTTCTATTCTCTTATTTCTGGGTAATTGAGAATTATTGTTCTATAGAGCTGTTACAGATACTGTCATCTTTGATTTAATTCTATAGTTGTTTTAAGATTTACAGTTGAACAAACTAAAATTCTTACTGCTACTTGTTTGTCTTTAGGATGTCACTGCTACCAAAGGAAATGAATTTGAAGACTACTTTTTGAAGCGTGAACTGCTTATGGGAATTTATGAGAAGGGATTTGAAAGGCCCTCTCCTATCCAAGAAGAGAGTATTCCAATTGCTCTCACTGGAAGTGACATTTTGGCTAGGGCCAAAAATGGAACTGGGAAAACTGCAGCCTTTTGCATTCCTGCCTTAGAGAAAATTGACCAAGACAGGAATGTTATTCAAGGTTCAGTTTAAATGCCCTTAATGATTCTGAGATCTTACATTTCAGGTGTAGAATTATAAGTATGAATTGCCCTACTAATCATATTATCAGTCTTAACCATGTCCACCCCCCCCCCCCGCCCCCCCCCCCCCCGTCCTTAAAAGTTTTGGATATGTTATTTATTGGTAAATTTAGTAACATTTTGCCAGCATCTTTCGATGTTAGTTTTAGGCCTGTTTGACTACAATATCAAAACATATACATATCTTCCTTGGCTGCATAATATCCATGAATTAGGACCCCGTCTTTGTTCTTACTTATTATTTTACTTACTTTTTCCCTTTTTAGATAATGTGTATTTTAACATTATTCGGCCTCATCTTAGTTTTGTGCATTTGGATCGTTGCAGTTGTTATTCTTGTCCCAACAAGAGAATTGGCCCTTCAAACATCACAAGTTTGTAAAGAACTTGGAAAGCACTTAAAAATTCAAGTCATGGCAACTACGGGTGGAACTAGCTTAAAGGATGACATAATGCGTCTCTATCAACCTGTTCATTTACTTGTTGGGACGCCAGGAAGAATTCTTGATCTTGCCAAAAAGGGGGTTTGCAAATTAAATGAATGCTCCGTGCTTGTAATGGATGAGGTGGGAAAATGTTTTGCATTTTCTTTTAGATTTTCCAAATTTGTGGATTAATAATTGTGATATCCATGATAAAATACCTTGTCTCAGCTTTTGTTTTCTATGTTCATTCCAACTCTTGTTTGGCTGAGAGTTGAAGCTTTGGAGTGTTCTAAAACCTTTGTTGAGAATTTAGATTCTTGTAGGTTAAGCATGATATATTCAAAATGTGTAGAAGGGGATGGATAACCCTCTGTACAACCTTATATAATTTTTACATTTTTTTACTGGAATTTACATTCGACATAGCAGACTGCATTTTTTCTTTGTCAACAATGATCATAACTTAATTCTTACACAAGATTCTGTAGTAATGTATCATCTTTATGTTATAAATCTGTATGTTGCAACTCTGTCCAACCTTATATAATTTTTACATTGTTTTTACTGGATTCGACACTCCACATAGTAACTGCATTTTTTTGTTTGTCAACAATGACGTACTTTAATTCTTACACAAAATTCTGAAGTAAGGTATCATCATTATGTTATAAATTGGGCTACTAGTCTAAATTCTTTCTCTTGTAATATGTTTCAGGCTGATAAACTTTTGTCACCAGAGTTTCAACCATCTATTGAACAGTTAATTCGCTTTTTACCAGCAAATCGTCAGATCCTTATGTTCTCTGCTACATTTCCTGTCACTGTGAAAGATTTTAAAGATAGGTATCTGCGGAAGCCTTACATCATAAACCTGATGGATGAGCTTACCCTCAAGGGTATAACTCAATTTTATGCTTTTGTGGAAGAAAGACAGAAAGTTCATTGCCTTAACACTCTCTTTTCAAAGGTTGTTCCATCTGCAAGATTTTTCAGCTATATGTCAATTTTAGTAGCTATATGATCCTGACTCTGCAGCCTCTATCCCCTGTGTATGTAGCTCCAAATCAATCAGTCAATTATCTTCTGCAATTCTGTGAACCGGGTAGAACTTCTTGCAAAGAAAATTACAGAGCTTGGATATTCTTGCTTCTACATCCATGCTAAGATGCTTCAAGATCATCGCAACAGAGTGTTTCATGACTTCCGCAATGGTGCCTGCAGGAATCTTGTGTGCACTGGTACGTTCCCTGGAGCCCTGTCATGTTTTCTGATTATCTTTTGACCTTAACTCCTTATTCTTAATCATTTTGCCAAATGCTTGCTTGTATCTGTGACGTGGAAAAGTAACCCTTGCTATACATGCAGACTTATTTACTCGAGGGATAGATATTCAAGCAGTAAATGTGGTTATAAACTTTGATTTCCCCAAGAATTCGGAAACATATTTACACAGGGTACGATCCTTATAATTTGTTATCAATATGCATTGTTCTTATTTTTGACGATTCTCTATAAAGTATTCTGGTTCATTGCAGGTGGGTAGATCTGGAAGATTTGGCCACCTTGGTTTGGCTGTGAATCTGATAACTTATGAAGATCGTTTCAATTTGTATGAACAACATTCTTGGTTTTCTTATACAAATAATGTAGTTTGTGTCTATGTATTTGCTGATAGTGCTCACTTTGATGTTCTCTCATATTTTAGGTATAAGATTGAACAAGAACTGGGAACAGAGATTAAGCAGATCCCTCCGCACATCGATCAAGCTATATACTGCCAATGATCTTAGACGGCTGCCATCAAATTCTTGGTTGGAAATGGTAGCAATGGTGAGCAATAAATGGAGAAAATATTCAATTTTAGCTAATTCACAACAACTTTGAGTGTCTTTGTTTTGTATTTTGGTTTGAAAGAAAAAATTTCTACGTGAGGTATAAGTAATTGTGTACGTAATATAAACAATAATGAGTGTGTAATATATTGTTGTGTGTTCTTCCATTATTCCAAAAAAACACATGTTTCCAAAAAAAATTAATATATTACACACTCATTATTTTTATATTATTTACACAATTCCCTCTACCTCAAAAAAAAAATCTCTTCAAACAACTTCACTAAACAAACACACATTTAATTTTTTTGGACAAAATATGTTGAAAATTTTTATGAAAAGAAACAAACCCTTTATGCCTTTCTTTTCCTTCACATGTTTGAGTGTCACCATTTATACCATGTCTAGTTGTTTTTCCAATTTAGTATTTACCATATCAAACTTATTTATTTAAAGCTATATTGCCTCTCTTTTATTTCCAGTGTTCTAGGGAAACTGGTGACTTTTAGTTATCCTAGGAAAAGCAATTTAATCACAAAAATAAAATAAAATATGAGCTTTTGTATTTTCTGATGGATTTTATATTTATTTATTAATTGAGATAAAGCATATATGATATTATTATAATTTTTTATGTCTAATTCTTTTTTGTTTTTGCTTTTGCCATTTTAAAAAAAATAAGTAGATGTTCCATCCACCAGATAATTTAATTGGATCATATAGAGACAATTTTGATTTTATTTAGCTATTTGGGTCTTTCGTTACTAAATAAAATGTGCTATGAAACATTTGTGCTCTTTCAGTCTAACTGCCACCATGTTTCTATTTTCCATGACAGAATCATAGCAGACAATCATGATAGAGGAACGTACGATCTCTGGAGGATGTCAGAAATCTTATCATAGGAAATGAGAAGACCTTGTGTTTCCTTAATGAGGAAGATCACTACGTCAGCTTAACTTATCTTTGCGGTATCTCACGTTGATTAACCTTCTTCAATCACCACTTTCTTTATGTTGAGTGACAAAAAAGAAAAGGAAAAAAAAAAGAGAACTGATTTTCTCGTTACTGCTTTCAAAGTTTCAGTTTTATTACTTCAAAAAAAAAAAAAAAAAAAAAAAAGAGGAGTTTTTATTTATTGTGCTGTTGGGCTACATTTTCATGCTGGTTATTCTTTTGGGAACAAATGATTAAGTATGTAGGGTGATCTTTATGGAGTTATTCACTTACATATGTATAATTAAAGCACACACCTTTTGATTTTATTGCCGGTTATTATTATTGCCTCTTTGTTGCATAATAGGGACTTTTTAGGGTACATGCCATGCCGGTATGAGATGTAGGAATAAGATTTAATTCTCTCTGTTTGTTTGATTTTGGGGAATCTAGGGAAATATGGGATTTAGGAATAACTATCTTGATTCTGAATTTGATTTGCATAAAAAGGTCTTATTGCCTGATTTAGGTTTTTGAATTCAAATGGCTTGGAATCTGAAGTTGATAGAAGAATAGCATTAGTGTATGTCTGGGCAGGGCACAATTGAAGAATGTGTTTATATATTAATTGGGGTTGGAGTTTGAGAATAGCAAAATATGATTTTAAAGTGATTATTCTGTGATGTAAGTTTTTGATTGAGGGTAGCGAAATAAAAAGGTTTCGATGTGATGTGATGTAAATAAGCGTTTGATATTTTCATCTAAGAAACATAGGAGGAGGTGTTTGATCTTTATATCAGGTTCAGGTGTGAGGAGAAAAAAGTTGTCATGATGGATTTAGATCCAAATAAGCTCAATTATATTTATTTATTTATTTTAATTCACTTATGGTCATACTCAAAATTGCAATCCTAATGGAAACACAGATATATATATCTCAAATGTACAACAAATCAAGTAGTAAATGTTTGGAGATATTAGAATAAAATTTGCATATTTGGTAAAGTTCCTTTTTGGAAAGCATGAATATAGAGTTGTGGAGGTATTATTTATAAGAACAGCTGTCATAAGCCGTTCAATGAATATTGGATATTGGAGGGAGGGAGGTATAGAAAGGGAATAATAATAGCAACTTGTTGAACGGAATAGAATACATATTGTAAGCAAACAAAGGCTGACTTTGTCGACTGTGATTGTAGTATTTATATTATCGGTGTATTTTTTAAAAAAAAAAAATTTAATTATACACTAATATTAAAGTAGTTTTAATTTTTATTTAAATTACAGAGATATTATTATACAGGCAAAAATGTAAAATTTTATACATTTTTATTAACTAATAAAATATTATATTTTTTAATCTATTGTAAAATTTTAAAATGTTACTTTGATTTGAGACAAATAATATAAAACAATATATTCATCTAAAAATACAAAGTGAATACACTATGAAAATTAAAGAAGAGATCATGCAATATAGAGTTATTAACCTAATTGTATTCACTATTTTTAATATATAATATATATTTATTCTTTCATACAAAAAGCTAATGTAGTGTATCGCAAGACACCAAGGCAGAGTGCAAAAATGCGGCACTCTATTGCTTAGTCTAACTTTTTTTTAACTCAAAATATTATTTTTATATTATTTATATAATTTTTTTTATTTTATATAAAACATACCTTAAATTAAAATATTACACAAACAAGTATTTGAGATTGTTCCTCAAAAGATACAAAATTTTGAGTTTGATTTATTAGGGTATCTCCAACCAGCGTCATTTAATGGCACTGGGTTGGCATTTTTGGGGTGGGTTGTTTTCAACTCAAGTCAAATGTATTTTAAATTATAAAAATAAAAATTTCTTTAAAATAATAGGAAAATAGATTGTCTTCAACTCAAGCCAAATTTATTTTAAATTATAAAAATAAAAATTTGTTTAAAATAATAGGAAAAATTAAATATTTGAAAAATAATAGTAAAAAATAGAGTTATGGTTAGAGTAAAATTACTGTAGCAACTGTATATTTGAAGTTAAAATTGGATAAATGGAGTTGAGTTGTTGGAGATGGTCTTAGAGCAACGACAACGGTTCAGAACAGCGACAACAATTCACATGAATAAGCCATTTTTGTCTCATTATCACTTTCGACTGTGGAGTCGAATAATTTGCATACAATGGCTTTAATTTCGATCCTAAAAATTTATATTCAATTAATAATAATAATAAATTATGAGTAAAAACTTGAATCAAGTATAAAATACTATAAACATATATTAAATATAAAATCATTAATTTCTTATGGATTCCTATCAATATTTTTAAGTTAATTTGAGCTCATTTGTAAAAAGTTTTAAATTATTAATTTATTTTTTTAAGGAATTCCAACGAAAATTTATCTTTATTATCTGTTTGTTTAGCTTAGGAATGAGTTCCACCGATTTCATTTTACAGCTCTAGAGGGAGAAAAAAATCAAATCTTACACCATTTATATTGAAATTTCTTCTCTCCGTGTGCCTATCATCTGAATCAATGAAACGATGATGAGGCAAACAATTTGTTCATTTAGTATTTTTATATTATTGGTATAATTTCTCATATCTAATGTAAAATATATATTTATTAAAAAATACAAAGTGAATAAATCCTTAGATTTATTTAGGTTTTTGTAAGATCAATAATAATTGTGTGATATTATATTTAATATAGTATTATATATATTTTTTTAAAAAAAAAGTATATGTAAAATGAAAATGAGATATTTTTGGATTCAATGTTTGAAAGTTGAAAGTGTTGTGACACGTTATATCTACAATGCAATATGTGTATAATATATATCATCTACGTCGCATTTGTGTGGCTACTTTTATATCCTTCAGTAGCCAAAATTTGTACCTATATATATATATATATATGTGTGTTTGCTTAATGAAACTACTGCGAAGTGCACTTATCTTTCTCCCCCTCTATACTTTTCTCTTACAAGCATTTATTACTGCTGGGAATTTTGGCCGTTCGAAACCTAACTCGACATGTCCTTCGATAAATAATTAGTTGGCCCACTACTTAGCCCGGCCCACCGGATCGGCCCAATCCAACCCTTTAATCCTAACCCACTACATTTGCCCAAACCCACCTTACCCTAAACACAATTTGTTAGGTTGTTGAATTTGTTATAACCGTGAGTGAGTTTGTTTGGGTGAGTTATGTGATAGATATATTAGAGTGGGTTTTGGGGTGAATAGATAAGAACCATTCGAGAGAAAGAGGGTGAGAGTGAGGGAGAGGGAGAGAAGCCGGTGAGTTTCTCCGATTGAGTTCCGATGAATTTTTCCGGTGAGTGAGAAGCCTTTCTGAGTGCCGATTCTGGTGGGTGTCGAGGTTTAGAGTGTCGAGTCGACCTCCACCTTGAGGCGTGGTTACCTCGGGCCAATCTCGCACCTTGGGTCTGAGCCTTACATCACTGTCCTTCTCACCGGTGAAAGATTGACAAGATCCAGACATCGATGTTCGAAGTCGGTGCTATTCGGGAAGCGACTGGAAATCTACCGAACATGTGTTGTCCAGACTAGAGCTGTTCTGGATCGCGTGTTTCTGTCCGTCCGACAATGATGGATGGAGAAGGTGATCGGCGTGCCTACGGCTGTCTCGGTGCGGATCGACGGAGTCCAGAGCTGATTGTTGGGAGAAGCCGCCGCTGGTCGCGCGCTACTGTTAGCGTCGCCGGAGGGCGACGGAGTCCAGAGTTAGAACCGCCACACGATGTGCTCGTCATCGATAGAATTGAAGTTTCCTCAATTCCAGAAGATTGAAGACGAAACAAGGAAGTCTTCATCGTTTTATTTCTTCTGCCTGCGTCAATTACGTTCCATTTCATTTCATTTTAACTCTTGGTGTGTTTGTTTGGTTTCTAATTGATTTCCAGAAATTTCTCTTTTTGCCTTTATAAAGTGTTTAATTTCATTCGATTCGGTATTGGTTTTATTCGAATTCGCTTCCGCTAATTCATTGTCGTATTTTTGTATATGAGGTTTTATTCGATAAATCCAAAGGATCCGGGAATAAATTCACATCAGTGGTATAAGAGCCCGGCAACCGATTCCGAAATTGAAAGAATTATTTGGTTCGAGTTTGGTAAGACTCGAATCGTGGTAAAAAGCTGAACCCTCAACTCTCTAATTTCGGTATATATTAATTTTGGTGAATCTTGGTGAAATTTTTGTTAAATAATATGATGAATTTCTTTGTGTTGGTTGGCTATGAATTCTTGGTGTTTGATTGGCTATATGTTTCTTAGTGATTAGATTGATATATAATCTTGGACTTGATTGTTAATACCTTGTATTTTTCCTTGGTGATATTTATTGGGAGTTTTTTTTTTTTTTTTTTTTTGGTTCCTTGATTGTATTCATGTTGTGTTTCTTGGTTGTTGTTGTTAACCTAGTGAAATCCTTTAGAGTTGTTATAGTCAATTGTTATAGTAGAATGCATGCTAAATATTTTCTTTCTGTATTAGATATTGCATGTTAGGTGTTGATTAGAAAATTCCTAAAAATAATGAATAATTGGAATGATAATCAAGAATAATTAAGTTCGTTGCATTATGTGATTTCTTGGTGTTAAGCATGGTTCTTGATTTGTATGCTATGTGATTAGTTTTTTGCTATGTCATGCTTTGCTTGATTGCTTTGTGATTATTCTCCCGGGTATTCTTAGTGGTAGTGTTTGGCCGAACTACGTGCTTAGTGATTTGCTTTCCGTCTAGTCATTTAGTGTTCTTTTAAGGTTGGCTTTGTTCCTAGTTTCTGAGTGTTCTTCTAGGTTTCGTCCTAGTTGCTTAGTGTTCTTCTAGGTTTCCTCCTAGGTTGCTGAGTGTTCTTCTAGGTAGGATGTCTGAGTGGTTGTGTCTCCGGAGAGCTAAGTGATAGTGGCCAATCGATCCAGGTTCTTAGGTTGTGCCTAACCCATAGAGGTGTGTGCTAGAGCTGTAGAGTTTAGTGCCTAAGATTTTCTTTGTGTCTAGTGTAAAGTGTTCTCTAGTATATGTCAAAAAATGTGGAGCTCCTATTATGTGATTCTTTGTCTTTGTATTCAGCATGTGTTTGCTTTCCTTTGTGTCTATGCATGTATGTTGCTCGATTGTGTAATTGTTGTATGAACTATGTGCTAGGTTGCGATGTGATCTATTTAGATGCATGTTAGGAGCTATGTGTTCTATGTGTGATGTGTTTTATCTGCATTAACATTTGTTCGTAGATGCAGGGCGCTGCCAAAAGGCGATGATGAAATCCATTTCTGCTAGATAAGTTATATCTAGTAAATACGTATTTGGGATTTGGTTA